GTGTTAGTCAATCAATGGTAAATTAAAATTTTCAATAAAACTAAATTGATTAATTTTCTTTATAATTTAGTCAAGATCTGGTAATAGTAACTTTAATCGAACACAAAATGGATTGTACGTAAAAAAAAAGAATTTTATTAATATCTCACAAAGGAAACATATACATACTATTGAAAAGTCGTTGAACTTGCAGAAAAAATATTTATCAAAACAATCAAATTTCGGGTTTAGAACAGTTGCGCGCAACTGTCCGGATCCTCAAATTTCACACATATCTAATCTAAATTCCTTATCTATCAGTGATTTATCTACTGGATGGGCTGAGTGGGAGCCGCCCACTCGAAAATATACTACAGCCATTCGTCTACTGGATGGGCCGAGTGAATATCGCCCACCCGAAATTTCGACTCGCCCACTTGGGAAACGAAACCTAGATAAAACACTGTTATCTATGAATGCTATAAATACTTCTGAAAGTTTCAACGTAAATAATCTTGTCTTTTGAGAGCTATTCATTAAGTCTCTAGAAAGATTTATTCATTCTTTATGAAACTTTTAGAACTTTATTTTTAATATAATTACAAATTTGTATAAAAAAAAAATCTCTTTAATATTGAGTTAATTATTTTTTGTTTTTTGAAGTATTCAAGATAATCTTGAATTCTATTTTCTTGTGTAAAATTTAATATTTACTTTATAATTTTGAATTTAATAGTCGTGCTAATAGTGAAACAAATGGTCGTACAACATCGACAACAAATGTCAATCCAGATGAAAATAGTCATACATCACCACCTAGTACTCAATCACGATTTAGTAGCTTTCGACCAGTTATTGAACGATCATCGAGTACAACTCAAACAAAACCAATGTCAATAAATAGTAGACATTCAAGTACTAATGAATTAGATGCAGATTCAAATACGAATAAATCATTATGGAATACTCATATTGAACATCAACAAAGAATAGCAAATGTTAATAGTCCATTTCAAAGTGGTGACATAATTATTTTAATCTAATATTAAGAATATTAAATTTTCTTTATTAGGTAAACCAATGAATATTGAAGAACATGAACCATTTGTAAAAAATCAAATTTATAATATTTATTTATCAAATCTTGAAGTACCTAATATAGTATTTGCAGCAACATTAGATGATTATGTTAATGCTACATTACTTATTACACAAATGAATAAACATGAACAACTTACAAAAATACAAGCTAATTCTTATAATGCAAAGTAAAAAATTTTTTAATACAAAAAAAAGATTCCTGTTTTTTTTTTCTTTTAAATTAGATTAGCTATCGGACAAGTTTGTGCTGCACTTTTTAATAGTGATTGGTATCGAGCTCGTATTTTAGAAATTAGTGATAGTCGTGTACGAGTTCAATATATTGATTGGTAAATCAATAAATCTTTTTTTTTTTGTTTTCATATATTTATATTTCAATATAGGGGAAATACTGGATGGTGTGATTCAATTCTTGAAATTCGTCCATTACCAAATGAGTAAGTAAGAAAGATTAGTTAATCATAGTTTGCGTTTAATTCTATTTAAAAGAAGAAATATATATTGTCAACTAAAACTTGTAATACTTTCGTTAGCAATCGTGAATACTTTTTCCTTCATCCCTATTTCTGATAGTTTTATGGTATTTTATCTCTTGTTCACATATATCTTTACATGAATATAAGGAACAGAATGAACGTATATTAAACTTTATTCCTTCATTTATGGTATTCTATCAAAAGGTTGTAGACTTCATATTCGAAAAAGTATACTCTCTCAGTATTTTATGGAAACGCATTCTCTCTAATGGTGCATGTATTATCAAGTTCCATTGGATACTATTATGATATCAAAAGAGAGTACAACCATGAAGGTGACACCTTCTTTATCAAAACTTTTATTGCAATAATAAATTAATTAATCTATTGTTTTTTTTTTAATTTAGATACTACAAAGATCCAGCTTTATGTGTTAAATGTATTTTAGATGGTGTTTCATCGAATGAGAAACTCACAAATGAACAAACAAATGCTATTCTTGGTGTACTCGGTAAAGTGTTAAATACATCATAGGATTAATAATATTGCTTATTTATACTTTTGATTTTAGTTCTTGATCTTAAACTTGAAATGACTGTATTACGTATTGAAAATGGTATTCCATATATACGATTAAATTTAGGTGAAAGAAATTTAAATAATGAAATATGTAATATTCTTCAATCATCATCTATAATAAAACAAAATCAAATTATGAATTTTGCTTCTAATAAACCTGAAATAAATCTATCTGAAATTTATTATGTTCAATTAACAACTGTTGATACAGAACCTGAATGTTTTCATGTTTTACTTATGCGTGATTGTCTTTCAATCATAATGAATGTATTAAAAGATTGGCATGCTAGTAGAAAACCATTAACTGTCGAACCAAAATCAAATATGCTTGTTTGTGCACAATATGATGCTGATGATCTTTGGTATCGAGGTTGGATTCAAAATGTTACTGGTATAAAAAAAACGTCTTTTTTGTTTTTTAATTTTTAATAATTTGTCTATAAAAAAAAAAATGTTTTTTTTTAATAGAAGGTGGTTATCGTGTATATTTTGTCGATTTTGGTAATGAAGAAATCGTTTCTATTGATCGTCTTAGTGAATGTCCAGATATTTTAAAAAATATTCCATGGCAAAGTGTACAAATTAAATTAGCAAATATTACATTAACAGATGATGAACGTTATATACTTTTAAAAGATTTTGAAACTGATCGACTTGAAATGAAAATTATTCAAAAACATCAAGATATTTATTATGTTGATTTAGTTGCAAATGAAAAATCACTTGTAGAACATATATTAGAATTACGAAAAAAACAACAATCAAAAATTAATGAGGTTTGTCTAGTTACAATTTAAATATGACTTAAAATTTTCTATTAAAAGGTATCGAAAATACTTACGGAACCAATTCAACAAATTTTGGCAACAGTATCAACATCAATACCAATGATGACAACGGAAAATATTTCACGAATATCCAATGAATGTGAGTAATTCTATAACAGAAATTTGAATATGTTTGAACATAGAATTTTCTTAAATCACTAAAGAACTAGAAATAATCTGTTTTTTGGAATAAACAATTCAACAATTAATCAAACTCTATTGAATATTATTCCAGTCACAAAAAATATCACTTTCATTTTTTTGACCAAATGTTCACGTTGTTGTCCATTATGCATCGAAACGGGCACGGATCTGAGTTTGAAAATGTCGAATTTGACCTACTCTAGGAAAGCCATAAAGCTTAGGTAGACTCAAACACTTTTTTTTTCCTTTGATCATAATAATAAATTTAAGTAGTGCATTAGAATTCTTATTCAAACGTTAATATTTTTCGCCGACTAATAATTACATTTTCTAAATTGAATAGACTTACGAAATGTTTATTAGGAAAACATTGAATTTTGTATAAGTAAATATTAGATTATACATTGATAATAACTTGAAGTGATAAAGAAAATCTGTGTCCGATTAACTAGACTCTATTACGATTTTCTTTCATCTTTGCCGACTAAAATTGCATGCGTATTAAATATTTTCAACAGTGCACAAACTCACAAATGTTTCCTCGAGTAAAACAGATCAAAAAAGTCTTCATCTATTCCATAGCAAAATAGTCACTAAAACTCCATGAATACGTAACATAGATCAATCTGTCATGCAAATTTTCATTTTTTATTGTGATTTAGATTCACAACCAATTCCGTTACCTATTCAACCAATTGTTGATGTACCAGCACAACCTATCATATTAAACAATAGTAAAATGTTGCAATCAACAACAACAACAAATGCTACTACTACGACGGTTAATGCTGCTAAAATGCCTGTATCGAACATTTCGAGCACGGTAACAAAACAAGAGCCTACTATCGAACAAAAGAATGATAGTTCTATTAATGATAATTTAATAACATTAATTACTGAACAACGTCGACAAAATCGTTTACTTGAACAAGTTATTGCAGCAATTAATACAACTAATGCACTTCTTACACAACTTGTTCAACGTTAAGAAAAAAAAAACGTTTATTTGCATGTTCATATATAAGTAAGATCAGATAGCCAGTCTAGTTTATCTTTTTTTTTTTTTTTTTGTGCTATGTGAAGTTTAGTGATGCGTTTTATAATCACTTATTTCTAATAAACTGACTGCATTTTCTTTTGGTTTCATTTTTGTGATATTTGTCTCCTGGTTGTTTTCTTTTTGTTTTTATAGTTCATCTTTGGTGTTATTTCATCCATTAGATATCGTTATATATATCTAGAGATTCATTATTTTGTTTTTTTTTGTTTTTGTATTTTTCTCATTTTGTTATTGTGCTTGTTTTTGCAGTTCTTGTACGTCCAGTTTGAAAGTAAGACAAACCGTTGGATTGTAATAGTTATCCATACAAAAATCAGACCATCCTTTTTTTGTTGGAATAAAACATAAGTACAAAAGAACTAGAATGTAAATATTATTATTATTAGACATTTACGTAGTGTCATTGACATCTATGATTGTTATTCTTTAGAAACATTGCAGAAAATATAGAAAACTTAATATTAAAAACTTCGTAGATATTATGTATAGGAAATTACTTACGCAACGTACTAATAAAAAACTATGAGATTATTAAAGAGAGGATTTCTTTTAGATTTGTAAATTGCTTTTTTTTATTACCAATGAGATATACACATCTTGATAATGTGCTATGTGATAAATATCGAGAAAATTTGATACTATTAAAGAAGATATTTTTAAAAATTTTCAAACGAACTAGATGAATAAAAGATTGTACAATATAAAATAGAAACTGGAGTTGCCATTGGGGAGGAGAAATATTTCATCTACACTCTTAACTTCAAAACAGGGTTAAGACATTTGTTTTTCTTTTAGATTTTACACTCAATCAAACTTTTACATGGTTTAAAAAACATGAGTGACGACAATAAAGAGATTGTTGTTATTGGTCATCATAATCCAGATACAGATGCAATTACAGCAGCATTAGTTTATGCTGACTTTCTTCGTCGAATGAATCTTAATGCTAAAGCTTATCGTCTTGGTGATCTCAATAATGAAACTAAATTTGTATTGAAAACAATCGGTATTGAAGAACCTGAAATGTTACCAGATAATATGCCCGAAGGTACACAAGTGGCATTGGTCGATCATAATGAAAGTAAAAAAGAAATATATGAGAATTTCATTGATTTATTAGTTCATTGTTTTTTTGATGTTAGGTCAACAATCAATGAAAAATTTGAAAAAAATGAATGTTACTCATGTTGTTGATCATCATAAATTAGGCGATCTAACAACTTCTGAACCTGTCTATTTGCGCTTTGAACCTGTTGGATGTACTGGTACAATTTTAACAAAACTATTTCATGAACACAATTTAGATATTGATCAAACAACAGCTTTTCTACTCATAAGTGGTATTCTCAGTGATACACTCCACTTTCGGTAATTTCTTTTTCGTTTGCTAAGAAATTTTCAATTCAATTATTTCAATCACTTAACTGTAAAATCTATAATAGTATTTTTTTTTTCTTTCTTCGATAGATCACCAACAACTACTGATGATGATAGAAAAATTGTCGAATATTTATATCCACTTACGAAAATTGACAATCTGGAATCCTATGTTAAGAAATTGTTTGAAGCCAAAAGTGATTTAACTGGATTTTCGACAAAGAAAATTCTTCTTCTTGGTTATAAAACATTTCATTTTAATGATGAGCATTGAGGAGTAGGTACTGGGGAAACATGTAATGTGGATACAATGTTAGAACGAAAGGATGAGTTTCTTCATGAAATGAATGAAGAAAAGAAGAGGAGCAATTTAGCGGGTATTTTATTTTCAATTGTTGATATTCTTAAACAAAAGAATTTGACATTAATACCTGGCGAACATGAAGAACAAGTAGTTCGAGCAGCATTCAAAGTCGACGTTAATGATTGTATAGCTGACTTGGGTTCAAGAATAAGTCGAAAGAAAGAAATTATTCCAGTACTTGAAGCATATTTTAATTCAAATTCGTAAATTAATGAACGGTTGTTTGCAATAATCAAGCAATAATTTTTTCTATACTTTCTATTAATAAAGCGAATATAATTTTTCTTTGTTTGCTTTCTATATCCAAGCTGGTAATTATCTTTTTTACTTGCTTACTTCAGCAAATTACTGTAGTTATCAAATAATCAAGATTACTAAATTTAATAAAGCTGAATAAAATGGACAAGTTTGTTAGTGATTACATTGTGTCTCAACTCAGGTCGAACGTAATCCGACGAAACCCAATGATATTCACCTGTCTAGTTCTGCTTGTTGTGATTACATTCATGCTTCTGACCGACTGCTTACAGTGATAAAAGAAACTATTCAAATGAACGAACAGTAAGTATAAGTTATCTATTTTATTTTATTTTTCGATTTGGACTACGTTATGTCATGAAGTCAATCAAAAGTGAGCATAAATTATTGATTCTATATTTTTTTCTTTATTGTAAATTTATTATTGAACAATTGAATGTAATAATAAATAAAATAAAGTACATTTAAACTTTTAATTTTCATTTAGGTATACTAGAGGAAGGCATTAGGGAAGGTTAATCACAAGCGGCTATAATGCTTTTATTTTATCATGAATGAAAAGATTGAGATCCTTTGCATGAAAACTCTCGCTTGTATGTTTATTAGTCTTTATACACAATTAAATGACTTTTGTCAACTTTACGGCTATTGTATCTATAGAAGGAGAACCAGAACATTTTCCTACTTATCTTTAAAGTCATAACAGATGACGATAAGAATCGAAGGTTTTTTATAAAAATACATCGATGAACGTAATTAATTCTCATCAGCAGAAACTTTGAGTAGGTCTATTGTGACAGAATATGAATTATACTAACATAGTGCTATCTTTAGGTAGTAGTAGTATTACCAGTTACCGTGACAAACAGATGTTATATTTAATTGGTAAAACGATAATCAATCGAGGGAATACATATTACAGCAATGTTGAAAGAATAGTTTAACAGGTATTCCGTCATTTAAGGTTAGAAAAAATAATGTTCATAGAAATTTTATAATATTCAGTCAAATTTTTATTCAAGTTTCTTCGTACAAAAATAATACAAAAACAACAACAACATGTACACAAAATATTCTTCAACCGAATGTGAAATTTAATCGCCACATTGTTCTAAGCCATCGATCGATTGGTTCCGATGTTCTGAACTTTGACCAGATGCATAATTGTCTACCTGTCTCATAGCTTCTGATCGCATCATAGGGCCACAAATCATAAAGAGAACACCGAAAAAACACAGAGTAGAGAGAATAAAAATTAATGTGATACTCGAAGCTTGAATAGATGATGTTAATGATGATGAATGAGTGAATACGATAGACATATTATCATTTGTCGAATCATTTACAGTAACATTAATATAATTCAATAAGGTATACATATGATTTCATATTGACGATGGATTTATTGAATAATCAATATAGAAACAAAAAATGACTAAGAATAGCGATCGGTGCCATTTGAGTATGTAACCAGGAAAAATAATACTATTCCAGAAAAAAAAAGTAAATGAATTAGGCTATTTATGTTTCTTTCATGTTATTATCGTCGTTTTAAATATATAAATTTGTGTACGTACCGATTGTTCGTCAATTTTCTTTATATACCTTTTTGTTTCTACCAATCAAGTGCTAGTCTCGTGACAAATTCTCCACAGCAATTATTCGTTTAATGTAGCAAGCATTGCTTTCTGTTCTAATATTATTCATAAATAACTCATGGCAACGATTAGCAAAAGTTTTGCTCAAGATTATGATTTTCAATCAACTAAAATTTCAGAAAATTTCGCTATAAATGCAGAAACACATCGTCTGCTTTTTCATAGAATTAGAATCAATTGGTTATTTTAAGTTGTCATAAACAAAATGAATTAATAAAAGTAAAAACTGCGTTTTGTTTCACAAAAAAACAACCTCAACAGCTATTAAAGGAGAAATAGAACAATGAAAAGATTTCAAGAATATAAACTGTAAAATAAATTGTTTTCTCCAAAGCTTCATAAGTATATGAACTTTTTCGAGTACGAAGTGAAATATCAATTCTAAGATTGAGCCATAGTCAAAATCATGAACCAAAATGTTGTTGTTATTATTTCTGTTATTATCATCAAGTTTCACGCAATCAAGCAAATCTTTTTTGAAGCTAATGATTCACGATGTGGACGCATTATATATAGAGAAGTATAACGCTTTTTCTTCAGAAAAAGTGGACTATGTTCAACACTCTTTTCCGATAAAGAATCATGTAACTCTACAAAAATTTTCAGTGTATCATTACAGAATGTAGCATATCTTTTCTTCACCGACACACACATTCACATCTTAAGTGAACCGTAAATATTACAACAATGAATTTATTTTATTCAGTAAGAATGAATCATATATACGAAAGGAAACAAGAACTATATAATATACAGATGCAGATCGGTTTTCCAATTACAAATCTTATTATTAGTGCACGAGAATAATAGAACCAGAGTACGCATGTTATTATATCATGATATATCGCCTATCTATCTATCTATTTTAATATATATATTTATAAAACAAAAATAAGACATTAGCTGTTTGGTTCATCATTGGAAAACATAAACTACAATTATATCAAGCATAATTTTGATATAATGCATGCTTATCTAGGATTTCAAGTACTGAACCATTGAGTACGAGTACCGATTCTTGAATAAATGACGAACTTAGCCGAAGAATTAATGTACATGGTTAAAAAAAACTTATAAGAAATTTATAAGACAAAAGAAGAGACTTAAATGAAAACGGTGTCAACTTCAATATTAGCAAAATTAGATTTTCACAATATTTATATACATGAAAATCTTGATAATTTACAACATCGTTGTTCAACTATCCTGAATTCTATATATTTAACTATTGTTGAAATAAATATGCATTTATGGATACATTAATCAATAGATATCCCTCAAGTTATTGGTCTAGAAAAGCGAAAGAAAAAAAAATCACGGACATAATGTCTATTTTTTTTCTTTGCTCACCTATTAATGCCTTGTTCCTTTTTCTTCAACAACCAATTGACAACTTTTCATACTTGTGTATCTCTATATTTATACTATTATTAATCGAAATCATCGGGACAGATATGTGCAGAAATGTGAGAAGTGAAAGAATAATAATAGTACTTACATAAAACACTTTGCCATCAAGATACGTAGCTAATATTGCATGACGAATCGGAAATAAGTTTATGAATTCAGTTGCTTTCAATAATAACAGAATTAGCAAAGCGAAGATGATCATTTCGCAATTGATGAACTCTTTATGAATCGTTGAAAATAGTCGACTTTCAATTGTCTTGATATCGAATACCGAACGTCACAGGGGATGTATCAGGTAGATTATCTATTTTTTTCTACACAGGTACAACATTCAAGTCATCTTATTGATCATGATCTCATGGGATTCTGGTCTAATTGGGAAACTCCTCAGAATTTTCTATCGTTATCAATAGTAGCTAAAAGAGTACATGCTATATCAAAGATTAGTGCTTGGACGAAAAAATTATTCAGCTCAGTAGGATTGACATTTACTCAAATTGACAACATTATTCATTTGTTCTTATGAGAATCCAAGAACTAAAAAAAAGAAAAGTTATCCATTCTCATTGTCACCTATGTCATGAAAATATAGTGATGATTGTAGTGAATATCAAAACAGTCAGTGATACATCAAATTCGATTACTAACGGCAAATCGTTATTGAATTAGAAAAACAACAGTTCAAGTTTGTAAAATTGTGAGTAACATATAATTTTTTACACAACTTTTAGTACTAATTTTTAATTACGATTCCACTAATTCCACTGTTTTAGATATCTAATTTATTAACAAAAAAAGTGTATCTACGTGAAATGATTTCAGAGAAAAACCATCTGATCCAAAACATTAATTTAAACATATTTCAAATAAAAATATTCGGCATCATAATTTAACAAGAGAACCCTATCAACATAACAGTGGAAATCGAAGTTTCATCAACAAAATGACTTTCTATTATCGATTTTCAAGGACATAGATTCATCGATTTATATTGATAAAATTTTGAATCCTATATCTTTGTATTTTCCATTATATCCTTGTCAAAAAAGCAACAAAAAGATCATTTTGTAGACTAAACACAGTGGGTCATTTGTTCTGCCAGGACGAGCTTTTGAATATTCTCTGTTATGAAAATCACGAATCTATTTTATACTCTCTTGGATATGTTCACTTTAAATCCGTTTATGTTGATTCTAGCGACAATAATACACACCATATGAAATTCACATGTAAATTATTTATCATTCAAAACCAATTTGTTACTTACAAGTTTTTGTTGATAATATCTAAATTAAAATGAATTATTTATTTCGTTTTTAATGATATCATAAATAATAAATGCCCACTGAAATTTCATTTTCCATAATTTAATTATTGGTTGTATTCTTGGTCAATGACCTTCATCATTTACAATGTTACCAATACATACAGCATTTATTAATGTATTTTTCTAAAATAAAACAATATTGATCGAATGACAACGTTCGATAGTTTATATGACCTTATAATCATAGGATGTGGTCCAGCTGGTATAGTTGCTGCATTAGAACTTCAAAAGTATCAACCTATTCCAAAGTTTCTAATTCTCGAAGCTCGTAATCGTGTTGGTGATCGAACTTATACTGATAAACATACATTTAATAGTAATCACCCGATTGATCTTGGTGCTCATTGGATTCATCATTATCGTTCAGAAAATCCTCTTTATGTACATCATACTCCATTAGATAAAGATTATTTTAGTTATAATTTTGTTGAGTCGGAAAAAGAGGATTTCTTTTTTTTGGCATAGATGGAACATTATTATCAGATATATCACTTAGTCAAGCAGAACAATTTGTTGAAAAATTATATGTAAATATTAAAGAATATTCATTAGATAAAGAAGATATTTCTATATTTGATGTTATTCGTGATAAATATGAAAAAATTCAAAAATGAACAAATGCGTCGTCTTGTTGATATGAATCTTGCTTATATTGAACATTATGAAGCATCAAATCTTAATGAACTTTCAGCTAAATCTTATTTAAAATCAGATGCTGATGTTGAACAATGTGATCTTATTCTTCCTATTGGATTAGGTTCTTTTATTGAACAAATAGTTCAACGAAATCATTTACTTATTCAATTAAATACAATTGTTACAAATATTAATATACCAACTGATAAGAATGATCCTATTCATATATCTACACAAGATAATCGTCATTATTTGAGTAAATATGTTCTAATTACAATTTCATTTGGTTTTTTTCATTGTCATCCACATGATCATATGCTTACTTTATTTGTTTGTGGTAAAATTAGCACTGAATTAGAACAACAAACTGATGAAGAAATTATTGAACAAATTTTTCAATGTTTAAAACGAATTTATTCACAAATACCAAAACCAACAAAATGGTTAGTAACGTGATGAGGATGTGATCCATTTGCATATGGATCATATTCAAATTTTAAAATTGGTTCTACACATGAAACATTAAAAGAATTAGCAAGAGAAAGTTATGATGATTGAATATATTGGGCAGGTGAACATGCTAATTATGGTGGAACAATTGAATCTGTTGATAGTGCTTTTGAAAGTGGTCATTGTGAAGCTAAACGTATTTATGATAAATTGAATGAAGTTTCTAATTAGTAATTAAATATAAACTTTTAGTTAAATTCTATTTTTTGTTTGTCATTTATGTTATTATCATGTTAACAATTGTATTTTAAATAAAGAAATTGTTGCAAATATATGATTATATTATGTTTGATAGTTTTGTTCAGTTTACTTTATATAAACAAAGTCTCGAAGGTTTGTTAGTTAAACATTTTTGGAAAGAATATCAACTACTATATTAAATCATAAATTTTTTATTTGAATTAGTCTTTTGTCTAGGGTAATAATATCCTTGATTAAATAACTGTCACATCGTCAAGTGAATTGACTCCATATAACTAAATCTAGTCTAATTTCGAGGTCGACATTTTCATAAATGAAAATAGATATTTTTTTGCAGTAACACGAGCCCTAGTTACTAACTCCTGTAATCATACATTGATCTATTTGATCTCGATAAGCAATGCTGAATGGAGATGAGACGTTATATGTGTTGTGTAGTGAAGCGCTCAATAGGAGAACATGAGAAAACACAACTCGAAACACAATTGATGATTAAAAGTATTTCTTTTTGGTGATTAACAATATTTTTGTTTCAATTTTTTATTTATATATAGAACAATAGATCGTTTGCTTTCCTATCAAACTATTCATTCAAGAAACTGATTGCCTGAAAATATGTGATCAATTTATGTTATACTTTCATTATTGACATATTTAGCTTTTTTACATTAATACTTACATTCATATTTAGATTTTAATAATAAAACAATCATTTCATATAAATCAATATTATTCAGATACTACGAAATCATTGATAGCAAACATGGCAAATCCTTAACCGAAAAGTAAATTTTTAGTTTTTAGATCATGGCTTACTAAAACCACGGTGTATGTCATTTCTTTATCTATTCTTTTTCTTCGTCAAATTCAATTTAGCTTAATATTCATTTTTTATTGTTAATATGTATTGTTGTAATCTAGTTTTATCAATAAAAAAAAATTATTATTATTATTACAACAGACTTATTCATACATCATTACACAAAAGTCACAACAAACGTCATCACTAGAGAGAACACGTGGTAAAAGACAGAAAAGTAAAACGAAATAAACGTTATCTTGTCGAGAAAAGAAATATATTTGACTTAGTGACGTAACCAGACATACAACTATAAGAAGAGAGGGCTTAGCTTCCTAGCTTGTTCTTCACCTTTTTAGACATTAGCTATTGTTATATATGTCGAATTGATATTGTAAAATTCTAAAGCTAGCATCAAATCAAAGCTAACAGATTATGCGTGCACACTGATTATTTTAGATGCGTAACTAAAATAGTTCATATATAAGAACAAAATATCATGAAAACAAAAAAAGATAACCACTTATTTGAGTATCTCTGAAAAATCATTGATAGGCTGTACAAAATTTGTATCTACATCATGTCCGATTGGCAAGAAACAAAGATCAATTAAATGAATTAATTGATGGACAACTAGTATCAATAGGTATTAAGAATGAAGATATATTCGATGTTAATAATGTTGGTATAGATTAGTTGTGTATAACAACTGTATCATCATGTACGTTACTCGTTGAATCAACGGTAGACTACAGATTTGATTTTTCAGATAAAAGAAATCATCTTGATGGTTTGTAGATCTGGTTCTTGATCATTTAAGAGGAAGTCCAATAGAACACCGACCAACATAAGCAGAGATCAACTGCAAAAAAAAAAA